TAATTCGGAGTTACTAAGCCAGTGCTCTTGGATTACACTATGTCATGAGAGTCACAGAGAGCGTGAATATCGTTAATAGAGGATTTTGCTCCACGACAGTTGAATGAAACTATTCGTACAGACATTGTTATTAGTAATACTTGCGAATAAGAATTCCAGTTGGCCAAACAGTGGGGTCCATAATCTGCCCAGAGAACTCTCGCGTGGTTTCAATAAGAAATGAAGAGTATGTGTCGAACTTAGTTTTGAGTTTTTCGCAGTTAACTTGCACGTTAAGCGACTTTTTAACAAAGCTTTGAATATCTTCCGTTGATGTCAAAGGTGAAAGCCTGGCAATAAACACCCTAAATGGTGGATTGTAATGAACAACTTTAATGGCACAGTCTCTGTCTGGATCAGCAGTGCCCACTCTGGGGCCTCGTTGATTTTTACGTTTACGGTTCACGGTGGTAAAACCATCACTGTTTTTGTCACGTAATTTCATATTAAATTTGCCATGGGCAGGTTTTCTTTCATTCATTTCATGAGACGTATGCGACGAAACTATACCTGCATAAGTAACCGATGGAGAGGAATGTTGCAGAGTAGGTTCAGCATTGCAACTTACTTTACTAGTTTTATGACCAGATGGAGATGGTAAACAATCAGTAGCCATGGGAACTGCAATGGATGTGAGAGTGGCTATACTTATCAGAAATGATAAAAACAAAAGTTTTGATTCGTCTATTTATGATGGCGCTGTGGACTTGAATCGTATTTTCTTCCGCGAATCAGGACAAGGTGGCCGATCAGCTGTTTCGAGGCATTAGTATTACGACGATGTTCACGCACTAATACTGATTTGTCACAGGGTTCTTGTTGAAATGCAAGTACCGTTTAGCGTGCTGAGTTGAGTTAAGATTCAGTTCGAGAATTAACAAACACACGGACGCCAAAATGGCTGCTTTGAAGCAGATGAAACAAACACTCAGACGAGAACTGAAGAAAAGATTGGCCGGGATGTCGGAGACAGAAAGAAAAAGACAATCAGAATGTATAACGCAAAAGGTAAAATAGCAAAATTCCGATTCATTTGCGCATCTCGTTTGTTTCTGTCATACGCACCGTCGTAATGATCAATCCAGGTTCAATGGCAAAAAGGGGCGTGGTTCACTGAAAAGACGTATGAGTATGTGCACAGCCCGCGGTTTTATTATCTCGGAAAAAGGAAAGGTGTGAATCTGACATTTTTGTCATCTCAATTTTAAAAACTGTCAATTTGCCAATGATTAATATTTTTCAGCTCAAAAAAAGAAAATTATCAGATTTTGAATTTCTACAATTTTACAGTAAATATTGATAAACAGTGGATCTAGAACACTGGAGAATATGACCCCACTCTGAGCTCTGCTCAGTTGTAACATGTGTTAGAGTGCATTATGAACTGTTCCTCATATTCTGTGGAACAAATCGCGTTTAAATGATGTTACATATTGTCTCATCTTGTGATACCTGCGGGGGGGGGGGGGTACTGTAAACTGCAATTTTTATAATTATATGGCATTCCAAAAATTGCACAGCACAGAAATTTTCACTGCTACAAAATTTCATGATTTTCAAAATTCGCAAAAAATTTTGTCTTTTGTGAAATTGAATTGGTTTACTCAATGCATGTACTTCTTGGTTTCCACTATCACAAAAAAAAATCACACTAACCATACTTCATGCCTTCTTCGTTCTCATCCAAGTTGATTAAACATCCCAAGTATGAAGCAAGTAGACGTATCAGCGTTTACCTGAGTATGACAGAAGAAGTCAACACCCTGGGTATACTTCAACACATCTTTGACTCCAATAAAGTATGTTTTGTTCCACAATACATTGGTAATAATATGGACATGCTGAAATTAAACTCCATGCAAGACTATGATGCATTGCCAAAAACAAAATGGAATATAAAACAGCCAACTGACAGCGACAATCGAGAGGAAGCTCTGTCTACTGGTGAGTTACAAATTCCTTCTCCTCCTGGTCTGAAAATAAATGTTGTAATGATTAAGGTGTCCTGAGTTGTATCAGGCTCCGAGAGTGTGTCAGGCGTCACATTCAAACTTAGAAGGACTCCAAAGAACTCTGTTTTTGGCTACACTGATTTTTTTTTATTTAAAATTGAATGCATTTGACAACAATTACAGAAATTCTGGACCGGACATATTAGCCAAATCCAATTTGGCTACCAAATGTTGTGTGATCTTCTGCATTTCAAGTATTGTATTTGAATTTGACAGGCTGCTCCTCGATATCATTGTATGACCTCTCCAATGATAATACATGTGTAGATGATTTTTGACTCTCCTCAATCGTGTGTGATCTTTGACCTTTGACATGAATATTTTGACCTTCATCTTTAATTATCTCACTACAGGTGGACTAGATATGATAATTATTCCTGGGCTTGGTTTCACAAGAGATGGTAAAAGATTAGGACGTGGCAAGGGTTACTATGACAACTACCAATCTCGATGTGTGGATCACTCACCAAGTAAACCCTACACCATAGCGTTGGCATTTCAGGAACAAATATGCGATGATATCCCTGTATCGGATCATGATGTCAATATCGACGAGGTTCTTGTAGGCGATATGGACATAACTGGTTGATTCCATGGTGCTTTCTTTGTAATATTTCATGTTTGATATTTTTGGTCTGTGGTGTGAAATAACTCATCATGGAAAAAAAGATTCACTTTATCTAAATCCCGTCTTTAAGGTCTCCTTAATAATATTATATTGAATAATAATCCCCTGTTATTACCTTGACTGATAAGAGCGTGCCTATTTTGTCAAATTTGGGCCCTCAAATACAACCCTTGATATATTAGGACTCTTTTTCACATAATCAATAAGAGACTTCCAACAGATGTGTTGAGATAAGTTACATCTACCATTCATTTGATTGTTTCTGATCGGCAGCTTTCATCATCATGTGTAGTTCATGTTCACTTCTTGTCAGCAAAATTGAAACTTTGTATCTTATTTTTCTTCGTTGTTCATGTGTATGTATGTCCATATGAATTTTACTTGTATTCAAGTTTTATGTTGTGGTTAATAAAATCCTGGAAAATAAACTTCATTGTTCTCAATTTTAATATATTCAAGATTAAAGAATTAAAACTACTGGTGAGGGTGAGTGAATTAAAAGACAATTTGGCTAAGTGGTCAAATTGCAAACGATGACGTCATTTTGAGATTAATTCAGTTTCAGCATAAAATAATTTCACATACTAGTATGTACAAAATTAATTCATGGTTTGTAATGGACACAGAATTTGTTTGCCCATTCATCGTGGCAAGACAAATTGGCCAATGATGTTACAAATATCGCAGATACTTATATAAACGGGAAGATTTGGGGTTGTAGATGTCTGAAGTCACTAAGTGAAGCGTTCTAAGGCTGTTTCTGTGCATTTTTACTATTGTATCACCTTTAGTCAGAAGTTGTGGTCTCATAAAAATGTTCTTAATAGCCTTTTGTTTATTTGCATAATTTATTATATTGTTATATATTTATTATAGAAATACAAAATATTATTAGATTAGTAAAACCTGCAATATCACATCACTGTCAATATCTGTTTTGTGGTTGGTTCCAACAATTCACCTATTGACCCTCCCCCCAATGCTGTGGATCATACTACTAATGCAAATAAGTTTTCTTGCTCCCAGAAACATACAACATGACTCACTGTCCCTCAGGGAAATAGACAAATGTGATTTACATCATTAGCATTCAATACGTGCTTGAAATATTCAACACATCAAGTTACATGTTCCACTTTCATTGCTGGAATGAACAGATAAAGAAAAACGATTACTCTTAAATTTGCCATTCCAAGTGCAGCAAAGGATCCTGGGTACAAATCATCACCAAATCTCGTAAATGAGTTGCTAATTATTAAAATTAAAATGTCAAGTAGCCGTCCCTAATGAATCCATATGAAGCTTCGTCCATAACATTCGCCAGTGTCATTGGTAAAAAGGATGCTGGGAATCAGCAAATCCTTATTAATGAATAGTACTGTAAAATACATTATTTTAGCTGGAATTAATTTTCGCTGAAAAGACTTTTGGGGTGTTTTGTTGTGGCTGTGATTTGGCTCGAAGTATAGCCACTGTACACTATAGGTCGGAACAATTTACGAAGTCGGAAAGTTTCATGTCAGGATTGACATTTATTGAACTTTGAAAAGGAAACATCGACATGGCTTGAAACAACAACAAAACATAAAATAATAATTACGATAACAATGGCACGAGGACCTCAAGTGTCACATGACACAAAACTCAAGTTGTGATAGATCGGTTCTAAACCAATCACTGATCGCGGTAATAACGTCATAGGTCAAATACAACTTGTATGATATAATAGGAATATGAATAATCTAAACTAAACATCAAAACTATTGCTGAACAGAAATAATACAGCGAATTGAATATTAATTATAGAAAACATTTTGAAGTCTAACTAGACAATTCAAACTTAATTAACAAACACACCTATGATTTGCATCTCGCCCAGATATTTGTATGGAATTTATTTTCACTGATTTTTGACGAGTTGAATGTAAAATGTAGGAAAAAGGTATATTCACTGGATCTTATTTTCACTGAATTATTCCCTCAGCGAAAATAAAGTATTTTACAGTATCTCAAATGAACGCGTCTCAAATATATAATATTGTACAACAAAAATTTATAAATCTAAAGTACAATAATGGTGATTTGTGAAGTACGCCATCTTTTTTGTTAAAGCGCGGTAGTCGTCGCGCTGCGCATGTGCGAGATATGTGGGTCTCATATAAACAAAGATGGCGACTTTGACTGTTGCGCAGATCAACGAGTACGAACTGACGTTTCCAAGCTTTAATTAGGTAATTTTCATGTGATTGGAAGTTATCGAAGGAGTCACCGGTGGTAATCGGTGCAAGTCGCGCCCAGATCAAACCTCATACATGTACTTGTGATTTCCATTTGAAGAGCGCATTGGATTGTGGGAAAATCAATGTTTGTCAACACAAATGTTGAACATGCGCAGCGCAACGACTACCGCGTTTTAAGGTTGGGCAATCTAAATATCGCTGCAGTTTAGAAATAGTACTATCTTTCTAAAAAATCACAGAACAAATAATGGGTTATAGATAGTATCATAATCCACTTGTATGTTCACTCTTCCTATTATACTGAATGTGTTATGGGGAACTGGGGAAATACCCACTTGACATATTCATCAAAAAACAATTAATTAAATACTTCAACAGAGTAATGAAAACATCAAATGAATTGGTAAGGGAGGCAGCAATTATGAACAAACAATGAAACAGCAAATGGTACAGTGCCATAACTACACTGTTAACTCAAATAAACCAACCACAAATTATCGAAACAACAACTATACTGAACGAGAGAAAAACCAAGAAATTAGGTTTGGAAGTTGAAAAAATATATAAATTATACTGGAAAATGGAAATTAACATAGGGACTGATGTTAACCAAAATAACAATAACAGAAGAAATAAACTGAGAACGTACAAAAATTTCAAAAATGAATTTACTTTAGAAAGTTATGTGATCAAAATAAAGAATGCCGAACTACGTGAATGTCTAAGCAGGTTCCGTCTGAGCAATCATAAACTAAAAATTGAAACAGGGAGGTACACCAAACCAAAAACCGAAATAGGAAAAAGAATCTGCGAACTGTGTTCAAATAACAAAGTAGAAGATGAGTA